TCTTTTTATCTGGCGGCCGCCAGAAAATCATTTGGCGGCCGCCAGATAAGTTTCTGGCGGCCGCCAGTTATTTATCTGGCGGCCGCCAGAAAGTTATCTGGCGGCCGCCAGATAAAATATTTTTCTACCTGGCACCTACCGGCTTCCGTACGAAACAGTGTGCTCACGAAAATTTCATTCTCGCCTATATAAGTATTCATAAAGATTAAAGACAGCAATAGCCACAATTCATGAAAATTTTGTCTCTCTAATGAAGAGTTAATGACTTTCTTGCAAAAATAAAGTGTCGCGAAAATTAAGTTATCTACAGTAGTCAATTTTATGGTGAGAGATGAAAACCGACATTGGAACGTGTGATAATTTGCATAAGCTCACACATTATTTATTACTTATATTTTAACCTCAGATACTGTATCCATACCTCTAGATAAAACTTGATAGACGTGCATAAAGCAGAAAAAATATAATAAAGCCACTCGTTTTCATCCCTTTTCCTGCCTTTGGCATTCCTCTTTTCAAAGTCGATCTATCACCCACATCTTAATGACGTAATGGCATCCAAAAGGACAAAAAAGAGATAGTTCAAGGATCACAAGAGTTGTTATACAGCTTTGCAAGTATGAATACAGACTTCATCGATAAAATATTTACAAACTTAAACTTGACATTATAAAGCTGCAAGTGGAGAGTGCTTATGCCCATTAGATCTATAAGAAAGTATAGTTAGAGAGGTAGGGGTAAAAAAACCATTTACATAATTACAATATGAAAAAAATGAAGATAAAGAACAGTAATCAAGGACAAAAGTCCATTGGAATGATACAAATATGGAGCACAGAAAACACGGACGTCTTAAACATCAGTGGTAGGATCAGGTGACATGCATATGGAGGAGAAAACATCCCCTGTTGACCGGTCACATCTGCCGTGTGCTCCTTGTCATGATCGGGCAAACGGAAAAATCGGTAGACAATTCAGAGTGAAAATAATGGTCTAGCAATTTGTATGAAAACGTCAGTCAACATTCGATGTAACAATTGATTCTATTTACTTACAAGGTCTTTGTATCGACCATAGAATTTACGAAATGTTGACTTTAAACGGGACTATTGATATCCTTGTAACATCAACTTATTTGTCAATAGCTTATCTCGTTTTAGAAATTGTTCTTGAGTAGAGCATGCTCTTGCGTATTGAATAATCTAAATCAGATTATGTTATTGAATCATTCCGCCAAGGAAGATACCATAGTAACCCGTACTGGTCATCGGAAAATGAAGTGGAAAGTACGTCAGGTGTAGATTGATTGTCTGGCCAGAAATAGATCAAAAGAGGAAGAAATATCAGAGGTTGCAGACATCGGAAACTAATCACCTTAGTCTAATTAGGAAGCTCGGAAAGTTTCAACCTAAGTGGAATCGAATCATGATATATCAAACTTGTTCTTCACTTAAGATCAATGTACAGTGTATATCACCATAGCATCTTCGCGGTAGAGATCACTAGCAGACTTGGGTCATGGAGAAGCATATGTCTGTTGACATAGATGGCTGTCTTCGGCAAAGGCCTTCAGTGCTCCAAGAACGCTTCAGGTCAAAAAATCTTAAAGCATCTTAACTTAATACTTGTATATGAAGAAGATTGGACTGACCACCCAGGATCCTTTTGCGAGTAACACAAGTATCATTCTATTTGTTGATAAACAAGTAAAAATAGTTTCATTTTTATTTTTTCGACAGTTGACATAGATACAAGATGAATTACTTCTGTCATAAGTGACGGAAAGTATTCTTGACAGTTCTTCATACAAACGTGATTTGAAAGTTTCATGGTCGAATGTACACGTCAAGGAGACTAAAAAGACCTAAATGTGAAAGTTATGTCAAACGTTTTTAAAACATATTTTTTCAATGCATTTATATTATTCAATGTATTAAAGTGTTACCGTAACATTTAATTTATCAGAACGTTTCTGACGTTTGAAATCTACATTTTAATGAAAGATATCCGGTAGCTAGAAATATTGATTTTTTTTTTAAAATAATCATGAGAATTTTCTATTTCAAAAAGAGAAGGATTTTTTTGCAAAACTGTGTACCAAAGGCAGGCCAGTATAAAATTCATTTTATCTGTAAATGTCCAGTTCCCTGTATTATTTTATAAATTATATGTGAAAATAATGAACAGTGATCATTCTCAAAAATCCATGAACCGCTCACGGTAGCCTAGTGGTAGGGCGTTCGCTTTGCGATCGGGAGGTCTGGGTTCGACTTTCGTTCGCCGAGCTGCGTCAAACATAAGATGTAAGCATTGGTAGTGACTGTTCTTTCTCCAAGCGCCCGGCATTAGAAGTGAAATTCACGGGTCTCTCGGATGACATCTTAACAACCGAGGTATCAAGGTAGGTGTTGCAACGAACCGTAACAGCTTAAAGGCCGTGAGTACCGAGTATAGGTCTTAATTCGAGGTCCTTAGCCAGTACATCTTTATATGAGTGAAACATTCTCGAATGGGACGTAAAACATCATACAATGAATCATTCAAGTCGATATAAACGATACAATTTATGAGCAGAGCAAACACGGACCTCTGAAAACATATGTGGGATGAGGTGTCCTGATGAAGTAAGCATCCCCTGCCAGTCGGTCACACCCGCCATGCGCTCCTTGTCAAGATCGGGTAAACAAAAAATTTGTACATAATTCAGTGTGAAAATAATAGCCTAACAATTTGTATGTCAACATTCTAACTAACGACAGATTGTATTCGCAAACAAGGTCATTGCATAAAATATGCAAAATGCTTACTTTAAACGAGATTGTTGATATCCTTGTATTATCATCTTTTTTGTCAATAGCCTGCCTAGTTTTAGAAATATTTCGTACGTAGAACATGCTCTTGCGTATCGAATAAACTGGGAGACATAAACTCCATACGTAGATGATAATTGTATATTGCTACATAAGTAAAAGACGTTGACGATAGAAAAGCTGAAGTCATCACGTTTATAATCAAGTTTTTTTTTTGTCTGTTTGCCATCGAAATATGAAACAGATGTGTCACTCTGTGGCGTCTTTTATTTCGAGTTCAATGGGATATACCGAAACAACACAGGAATGGAAATAAATGTTTATTAATAAAACGTCGTCGATATATCTAAATATCGAATTGAGTGCACAATAGCTACCCATGGAAATTCCAACAGATTGTTGGAATATTTGGTCTCTGAAAACCATAGATATTAGCAGGTAGAAATTCACGCATCTTTTTAATATCAACTGCGGATTACTTGTATGTAGAATCAGAATGGGTTTTTTTAACAAACCAAGTTTGCTTTTTGCCAATGACAAGTATGCACATTTACGAGTTGAATTTTACAGTAAAAGAGTTTTACGTTTTGCTTCATATATTCTATATCAATGTTGTAGCATCAGTCTATATTTACTCAAATCGTTCATATTATTCACTGATCAATATTAGCTAAGTCAATTTTGATCATGTTCAAATTTAATTCAATTTTGTTCATTTTTTTTTTCAAAATTGTTCGATTGTCTTTGTGTCCTTACAATCTTAAGATCGAGCTGTTCAATTCAAAGATTTAAAAAAATATTTTCTTTTGTTTTTTCACATTTCATCTTTCATTTTTTTTATCTTTGACAAATATGATAAGCAATTGATTAGGAAAACAAATTTTACATTTATAATGTATTAACATATCTTTGTGATTTATAATTCAGTGACGTACATGAAAGATGACCTCCTGAAGTTTGAAAAACATAGAAGGTTTTAAAATGTAAACAGTTAATGCATGAAGTAGCCAAAAAGTACACTTGACTTATTTTTTAAACTCAATTACACATCCGTGTATATATGTAGTATAGACTAACAGTTAATATTATGTAGTCCCCAAGACCAATTACCAATGCAGGTGTCTATCACAGCATGTATCACGATACTATTCTCTTGTTCTACAGAACATCACCAGTATAAGTCTGTGGTCATACAGAACGGGCTGTTTTGTGCTCGGTGTCTGTGATGATACCATTCTCGAATTCTTGGTAAACAATCTCTTTGACAGTTTTTATTAATACACTTCCCTCTTATTCTACAGGCACTTCCATCTTATTCTACAGAACACTTTCTTTCTGAATCTTTTTAAGGTACTATTCTATCTTTTACGGCACATCTAAGAATTTGAAGTTTCCAGGGCTTTTTCAGTGCTTGCTCTCAGTATGAAATGTTTAACTGGATTTTTAAGTTTGATTTTCAATTCCAATGCAATCTTCCTTTTTCGTACAGAATAGCTCTTTTTTTTTATGGTACCATTCTCTGGTTTTACAAACTTCTTAATAGTACTAGTATTAACTCTTTCAGCAAAGCCTTTTAATATAATTTTCCAACAACAGCTTTGTAAAATCAATCCTTAAACAGTCAACTTGGGAAATGATCTGGACATTTTTTTTATTCAGCTAAAACTACATGTACTTGCAGAAAAAAAGCTAATTTTCATTTGAATCAAACCTTTCCAACTTTTGATTTAAATGAACACCAAAGGTGTGAATGAGGTAACCTTGACGAATTGGCCGGTCTTTCAATGCGACTTATAATATATACAACTCTTCTTGCCTTTTGCTTCCGATAACAACTAACATTGCACTATTGTAGCCATACGAATGTTAGTGCATTTAATTGAATTTTGGATATTAATAAAATTGCCATATTGAGAAATCAACATCAGCAAGTGGTTAATAAGGTCATGCAAATAAACTTTTAACATCAGACGACCTAGAAGTTCGTTAAGTTCAATTTGTTATTGTAGCTCAACTTCATAGTTCAATGATTCCACAATTTTTTCTTTAAACATGACATGTTTGCAGTGCAATTTAAAGGGGGTAGAGTTATAAATAGGCAACCGCAGTGAATCCAAGATGGTGGAATTTACTGGAATTCGAAAAAGAAAAATTTCTTATTAGAAGAAGACATAATTTAATGTTTGTGATTTTGTTCTGTGACAGCTGAAAGGAGAAAATGGTACAGAAGTCCATCTAATGGAGTTAACAAAGCGAGGTAAGTGGATAACTAGTCATTTCACCTGGTTCTACCTGTGTGTGTCATAGACAAAAATAGTGAATACATATAGGACGAATACTTTAAAGAACACTGACATTTTAATCCTCTATTTACAACAAAAAATTCAAATTATTACATACAAGGTATATCAACTTTAGTTTTCTATTTTTATTTCTGCAAATATTGTCTTACTATTTCCCAGTATTATTATGCTGACTCTTGTTGAAAGGATGTACTTGTATATATCTTTTTTAACTCCCAAGAATTTGAATTTTATACTATTTAGTCCAAGGCTATTTCAAAATTCGTATTGTATGACAGTAAAATTTAATGGTAGATCATCAATAATACCTGTCTTGTACTCTATTGTTAATTTACACACTTCGTTAGTTTAATAGGTAATATGAATAACCATTCACGATTATTTACACAAGACTTGATGTATGTCTCGTATCAAAATACTAATATTTCAGTGTTCAATGAAAAAGAACGATTTTGAAATCGTCTTTGTAGGATAAAGTAATACAAGGCCAGCTAGATATACGCATTTTTCTAGATCTTCACCATCGCAAAAACACTGAATAAAACTGCATAAGTATCAAGAATTGATTTCCTAAAAATAACAATTGTTCTTCAATATTCCCGTACCTTTAAGAAAAGCAATTTTATTTATTGTAACAAACTGAAAGTACATGTAGTCCCTTTAATTTTCTGATAGTCGTAATCTGATGGATGGTAGGCTTAGCGCTCAGATTTTGTATTTATCTAGAAATCTTCAGCTTTACATTTAGAAGCCCTAGGAAATTAACACGGTCATCAAGAGTATATTTTAAGCATTCATTATCTCCCTAACAAGAAATAACAAGCTTTTCCTAACTTAAGATTTGCAATAGTATTATAATAGATGGAGTCCCTCATTTTGTACAATTAGTTAACAACATTTCGAGATTTGGGTAAAGTCTACTTTTCAAGTTTTAAGTTAAATTACTACAATATAAACATTTGATGTATTTCTTTTCTCATCTTCTTGCAGTTGGAAATTAATATTGTCAAGTTGAATATGAACATCCTAAAAAGATCTGTTTAAACAACGCATATTAGATAATTTTTTAGGCATACACCTGTAAGAAAACATTTCAAACGAATTTACATTTTTACTTTTAAGAGACATGGCATATTAAACAGTTAATATTGAATTATTCAAATTAATACAATAAGAGGGGTTGAGATTTATTGCTCGCTAATTGAATTTTTAATAATGACAACCCTAATAATATAAAGTTGATCATAAAAAGACTCTAAAGGTTTTAACCCTACAATATGAAAACTGACAGTTTCATAAATATATGCAATTCTTATTCACATATTTACATTTTCTTTGTCCAACTGCTTATTTATAATTTTGATACATGCATTTTCATGAGTAAATTAATTACAATCCATATACTCACAATAATTTTTACTCCGTTTATATGACAAGGAAAAACAAGATGTGTTTGTGAAACACTGATGCCCCCGTATGGCAACTTAAAGCGAAAGTTAAACTTAAAGTTTCTCAAATGCAAATCAAATATTTTGTACTCCAAGCTAGATCTTGTCTCAAGCAATATACCTGTGAAATATGAAAGCCCTAGCAGCAACCATTGAAAAGACATGGAAAAAGTTAAAGTTTTTCAAAAGTAAGTCAAACATCAAGGTCAAATGTTCAAAATTAATGGTGCCCAAGGAAATGCCTTGCACAAGAAATACACGTGTGAAATATGAAAGCCCTAGCACCAACCGTACGAAGGTCAAAGGGTCAAAGTTGTTGGTATCCAAAGGAAGGTCCTGTCACAAGGATTAGACATGTGAAATATAAAAGCGCTAGCACCAACTGTTCAAATTTTATGGTCAAGGTTAAAGTTGAGTAAAATTTTGCAAAACTTGGTCAAACTCCAAGGACAAGGCCAAAAGGTCAAATATGATGGTACCCAAAGAAAGGTTTTGTCACAAGGAATACACATGTGAAATATGAAAGGCATAGCTCGAACCAATCAAGTTATGGCCATGGTTAAAGTTTTTGCAGACAGACAGACGGATGGACAGGGCAAAAATAAATATGTAAATGTAAATAAAAAGCAAATGAAAATAACTTCTCTGAATAATAATGTAGGGAAAGAAATGAAATGACAGATAATAAAGAAATAGGTGCATCTAACATATTCTTGTATGCCGCTTTTCGTGCACAAAAAACTTCTTGAACTTTAATTTCGAGCGTCTGAAAATATGTTGAAAAAATGAAACATTTCATTAAGCATAGCTGTAAGCATTACGTATATCAGGCACCCTCCCCCATTCCCCAGTCATTAGCGAACTATGTTTCATTCTGCCTTGAACCGTAGACACAACTTCTGCAGAACAGCATTGTGTCCTTTAATTTATGTAGACACTAATAAGTGTTTTTGAAAAAAAAAATTACATCAGTCAGTTGAATCGGGGATTTAAATCTTTGTTTACTGTGAAAGTGTTCTTGAGTTCATGGGGAGATAATCAGAGGATATGATCAATTAAAACAGGCAAAGGAAAAAAAGTAACTACTTTTCTGGCATGTGTCAGCACGTTATTCTCAAATGTTTAGTTTATATACGTTGTATTAAAAAAAATCATATTTGTGTTAGACTGGCTGGGTATTCTAGTTAGATACTGCAGATCTTAATTACTGATATTTGTCATTTAATAAGAATGTTGATACATTATGTATACATTGAAATTTTATCTCTCGAATTGTTCTCTGACCCTGTAATTTACTACTAAATCTAAAACTAATGGTCGACAACCATACAAACTAAGGATACAGAAATACATGAACGGGGACCAAACCAATAAGTGACTAGCTTACAAGTAACGGTTGTTCTTGATAAGACAATTAGACGGTTTTGAGTTTAGTGCTTTCTTTAGTTCTCTTTTATCTGACATTTATAATTGATAAAGCATATACTGGAAACCGGGACGGAATAATGCCCTCCCTATTCGAACTCCCGAGTAAATTTAACCAGTTGATATTCTAATATTTCTCCATGTATAATGAATAACTATTCACGTTTAATCATGTAAATATGGATTTAAGGTATCTTTTAAATCATTTTAATGAACTATTCATGCCATAAAATTGAATGAACCCTGAGTTTGTGAGAAATTGAAAGAAAATTTTAAAATAGTTTTACGTATTTTTATTTTTCCGACCTAATGATTCTATATCTTAATCAATAATTGTTATCTTTTGAGCTTTACACTAAGTTATATTTTGGTTTCAATGTGCTATAGTATGGTTGAATTGGAAATGTTTTTCCTTCTTGTTACACAAAATAGGCAGATTTCATAATTTGTTTGCCAATTATGTCTAGTCCTCTAAGGTGTAAGCTGGCATATGACACGTTCTGCATCGGGATAAAAGTACATCAACAATGTTACTGTCTCTAGACATACCTTTATTTTTGCACAATAAACCTTTCAACTGTATGCCTAAATGCAGCACTTCATTTTCTTTTAATTGTTTAAAAAAAATAAATGATGTATACACTGTCTTATTACAATATGGTTATTAATCCCAAACCCGGATATTAAGGATAGGTCAACAACTAGGAGTAAACACATTATACACAGTGTGATACAGTAGTACTCAGGGTTTTACCGGAGGGATCTATACGACATGCAGGGGACCTCAGAGGAGACTCAGTGTCTCACATCAATACCCTGATTCCAGGATATTCTGTGAGGGCATGCTTTGGTGTAAGTCACGAGCCTTTGTGTTTTATTAATAAGCTCAGTATTCTAATGTGTGCGGTTCATGAATGTAAATGCTATCCGCCAATGATATAAGATTCCCTTCCTACTTCATTATGCTTTTATAATTCTGTATCAATAATTATTCCGTGGTATCTTATTAAGATTTTTGTTCGTTTGTGAGGATATCTATCTTGTCCGTTATGTATGGTTTTGATTTAATAAATCTTCCTCTTGTTATCAAACTTCCGATTTCCTTCTTCCACACTTAAAGTTCATTCAGTAATTACATAATGTCAGCTTCCTACTCACAATATCAATGTTCCCTACAGATTTAGGTACAGCAGAGTATTCACACAAATAGGATTGTTTTTGCATTATGAATCTACCAAATTCTGTATTTTTGAAAGCTCCAGGCATATCTTTTTGTCAGCATTCACGCAGACTCTAACACTCATTAATGAACGGAAATATGTATGAGACTGATGTAGCTCCACGGTCATTTTTCAAAAACAATCATAAATTCATACTCAATAAAAATATCAGAACTGTGGCACCGTGGTCCCTACCGTTACATAGAGCTGACTTGCTCCAATAAAATAAGAGCTGACTTGCTCTAATAAAAATGACTTCAACATTCATTATAACATTTTTTATGCTATATGCGTAAAAGCTAAGTCGTGACTCCGTAACACTTTGCACTTTCAAAATTGACAAATTAAAAGCACTGAAAAAAATATTTTTGGAAAGTGTCAAATTTGCCCTAGAGAAAAATTTATTAACGTCAAATATCGTTCACATTAAAAGGTAAAGGAGAAAAATTTGCAATATCTCAGAATAAATAGACAAAATGAGTTTTGGAATCAATTTTATGGCTTTAAATGGTAAAATTTAACATGTTTTATCAATTTTTATCTTAAAACTGATGCTGGTTGGATTTTGATCAATGTCTTCTTACTCTTTGCAAAAAACGACATTTATATAACACCAAAATTAGCATTAAAGATATGTTAATATGATATTTTTTTTTTCAAATTTTGTGACTCATCTCTGTTTTTTAGGGGGAGGGGTGTAATTGCTTTGTAGATTTTCTATCTTTAATTCATTCAAAGCCATTTTGATTTTGCAATGAAACCTAACAAGTTGAAAAAAGACCGCTCCAATGAAAATGTTTGCTCTTTATAAGTGATCTTTGTTTACCCAGATGAAAAATGGGGGAAAAAGTACATTTCAGA